TTTAGCTTCGCTCCACGTTTTTTTTTTGCCAAACGTTTAGCTCACGCGCTTTACTCGAGAAAAAAAGGTGAAATTGTGAGAGCATCTAAATGAATGTTCCACAAACTCTAGATTTTGTGTGGAGCACAGTGGCGGATCCAGCAATCAGGACATGTGGGGCCAGCTAGTAGGACTCTGGAGCCAAACCATATACGCTACTATAAATGTCTATTTACTTCATCAAAACCTGTGGGGTCAGGTGGCCCCACAGCTTGTGCCTGCATCTGCCACTGGTGGAGCAGAGTTTGTGGAGCAGTCATGTACACGCCTAAAAAGCTGTCATGAGTAATTTGATTTTTGGTAAAGTGACTTCCGGATTTGCTGCTAGAAAAATTAAAACCTAAACAAATTGGTTTTGGTTAAATCGGTTTAACCGCAATACAGTCTACTCATTAAAACAGTCATGAGTAATTTGGATTTTGGTAAAATTACTTCCTTATTTGCTGCTAGAAAAATAAAAACCGAAACAAAATTGGCTTTGGTTAAATCGGTGTAACAGGAATGCATATCCAATGACAAAATAGTCATCTAGGTCCTTTAACTTTTCATGTTGTTCATTTGAAGTGTGAATTAAGATCCATGATTGGTTCTAAAGTGAATCTAGAATGAATCACTCGAAAAGTTAAGGGATCCGAATGATCACTTGAGAGCTGATGGACCTAGATGAGAAAAAAACTAAGGATCGAAAATACATTTTACTCTTAAACAAATACTCCATGGTAATAAACTTTGGAAATATTGCTTTAATCAAATTTTGTGTCATATCACTATGGTAAGTATATTTAATCACTATGTTTTTTTTTATAAAACAACAGTGCTACACATGCAATTATTTCATTCTTTGATGTAGCAAATTCAACATCTTGAGTGCCATTTTGCACATTGAAACTAGTGCTTGTCATTGTACATTTGTACTAACTCTTAGGGTTTCTTTGGATTCTCTCCTCTAAACTTTAGAGCTCTAAAAACTTTAGAGCACTTTAGCTCAATTTTGAGGTCTAATGCTCCAATGTGAGGTGGATTAAAGTTTAGAGCCAACTTTAGACCATCTGTCTAGAGCTTTAACTCTAAAGTTTAAAGCCCTAAAGTTTTAGAGAGAGGATCCAAACAACCCCTTAATTTTTTATATTTGAATCAACAAACTTGTATGGCAGTGTCTGTCAGGCCACCAACTTATGGATTTAGTAATTTGCGTCCCCAAATTTGTACGATTGTATCATTTTGATTCCTAAACTTGTCATGGACTCTAGTATTGATCCAAACGGGTTAAGACCCGCTCCATACACTGATATGACATGTCGATTGCGTGTTGGTATGGACCCCACATGTCGGATCCACGTGTCAACATCGCTCTTCTTGCTCTAAAGCCTCCTCCATCCACACTGCTTGCTGGTCATGGCTTCCCCCAACGCCAAACCTAGTGAAGGCTCATTGATAGCAAGGACAACGTGAGGGCCACCGCGGGTTAGTCGATCTTTTTTTTTTTTGAGCAAACCGCGGGTTAGTCGATCTAAAGCAGGCGTAGCAAGGATGTGGAAGAAGGCTGAAATGGCCAGTGAGCAAGCAACGTTTGGGCTCGCAGCCCCGCATGCACGGTCAGCCTGGGCATCGTTGTATCTGGGCTGCGGAGATCCACAGCGTTGGCTATTGTAATGGACTAATGGGCCATCCGTTGGTCCGTTGCAGTACATATTGACGGTGGCACTTTGCTTTTTAATCTCACATCGCTTGCTGAAGCGAATGCCAACATCAAGTCCTGGTATTAGTGTGAGCCTGTGGCAACATAGAAAGATCAAGCAGCTGAGTAGTGGACACAAAGCGAACTATTCTTGAGAGGATCCCAACAAATCAAAAGAAATTTAGCTCTCTTGTCTCTCTAAAAGTCTTTCTAAATCTCATTTTTTAAATCATCGTTTAAAAAATTATTTGTATAAAAATCGATCTCTATAGGAACGCAGAACAAGCACAACTCACCGCACCGCTTCCTCCCTCCCCGCACCCGCTTCCTTCCTCCCGCGACCTCCCTCAACTTGCAGCGCCGGCGACGGGATCCGCCGGGTCCTCGTCGTGGAAGCCCAGCATGTTGGGGCACACGAGATCTGCCGCACGCGAGGCTCGGGGAGATCCGCCGCCATCGAATCGGCTTGCGCAGGAGGACGCCCCCACACTCTGAGATCCCGGCCATGGAGGATGAACTCCGGCAGCCCTCTACCTTGCTAGTGACGGCGGCCAGCGCCTTGGGATGAGATTCGCGCCGTCATGTGTGGTGGTGAGACTGGTGAGGCTGGTCGAGATCCATGGTGACCGCGGCCCCTGCACCCTCTGCATCTTCCTCGCTGGCGACCGCGCCCCTGCACGCTCTGAATCGAGATGGCCACCAAGTAGTGCTCTTCTAGATGGCGTGTGTGAGTTGTGCTCTGATTTGAGTTGGAGGCATGAGAGAAATTGGGAGGGAGATGGCTGCTCCTCGCCGCCGCCGGTGTGGGCTCGCGTCACTCCCCGCCGCCGCCAGTATTGCACTCAGGGGCTAGCATCTTGCGCAGCCATGGCAAGCAGCAGCAGCAGCTGAGTGCACGAGCTCCTCGCCGGAGATGAACACGAAGCTCCTCGCTGGAGATGAAAACGAGCGCACTAGCAGCGGTGAAAAATTGGGTGGACCTCGATGGTGTGCTGCTGTTGCTGGGTGGACCTCGATGGTGTGCGGCTGTTGCTTGCCATGGCTGCTGCGACCGTGAGGTGGAGCTCGATTGCTGCACGGAGGAGCGAGGTGGGCGCGGTGGTGTGGTCCCCTGGCGGTGCGACTGTGAAGAGGAGCTCTACGGCCGAGCTGAGGAGCGAGGTGGGCGCCGAGGCGGGAATAATTAACTTTTGGTATATAGAATAGTAGGTCATGAACTCATGTATCACAAGTTAGGGCATTATTTATAAGAGTGGTAAAAAATAAATATCGCGGAGGTGAGCGGACGAGCCTGTCCAACACCTGTTCGAGAAAATGCCTCAAAGAAGGTGATCTCATCTTCTCAGGCCCTGTTTGTTTTCTACATGTGCTCTTAAAATTCCTATCACATCGAATATTTAGATACATGCATAAAGTATTAAATATAGACTAATTACGAAACTAATTACACAACTTGTAACTAATTTGCGAGACAAATCTTTTAAGCCTAATTAGTCCATAATTTGACAACATGGTGCTACAGTAAATATGTGCTAATGATAGATTAATTAGGCTTAAAAAATCGTCTCACAAATTAACCTCCATCTATGTAATTGGTTTTATAATTAATCTATATTTAATATTCTTTATTATTATCTAAACATTCGATATGATATGAATTTTAAGAGCGACTAAAAAAACGAACATCCCCTCAAAGAAGAGGTGACCGGATGCAAAGCAAGCTAATCAACCAAACAAACATGTGTCTAGCCAGGCTTACACAATGTAGACAACCAAATAACTGAGAATTGGCTTGGTTAGACCAGGCTAAGTCTGCCCTGGCTTAGTTGGTTAGCCAGGCTAGAGGCAAGCCAGGAAACCAAACACACCCTATATCTTTTGACTCTCTAACAGTTTTTCTATATCTTGTGTGCACTCTAGAGTGTCATTCTTGTCTTCTATTTTTGGCTAGCGAAAACTCGAATAGAAGATGGCTATATTTGATAGCCATTTACAAAAGTTATTGGAGGTTTTTTTTACCAAAATCTTTATTCCTAACATTTAGGAAGAATTTAGAGAGTCTTTTGGAGATACTCTTAGTGCTCTTTGAAATACAGAAATCTTGTACTCTCTCCATTTTGGCTTTTCTACATTCATAGCTTTTGCTATGCACTTAGATATACACTATGTATTATAAAAGTAATGTATCTAGAAAAGCCAAAACGTCTTATAATTTGAAATAGAGGAAGTAGGTATCAAGTTAGTTCCACATAAAAACCACAAGAAACAGAAAAAAAAATCCTGCACTTTTCAAAAATATTCAACGCTCTTTTGTGCTAAATAGCATCCTGCATACTACCTCCGTCCTGTAATATAAGTACATTCTAGTATTCAAAATTTGTTCTCAAATATAAGTAATTTCTATTTATCAACCAATCACTATTAATCACGTTAATGATAACGTCTGATTAAAAAATAAAATAAGGATATATGTCTCTTTCATATTTTCTCTTAATTTATCTTAAAATTTTTTAAAATATAATATATTACAGGACAGAAGGAATATGGTAACGTCGAGGAGACAGGTGCATATTTGGAAGGTCTCAGTTCCAAGCTTTACAGTATGATTCCTATAAAATTGCCGTGTTTCGAAGGGATAAAAAAATCTAGACATACCTTAACTAGTGCCCTTTTAAGTCGCAGAAATTCTATATGAATCAATTTATTTTAATATGAAAGATGCAAAATACATGAACAAATTCTGCATTTTCGAGAAATTTCAATATTTAACATCAAATACGTGCAAGCCTCACGTATTTTAACACTCAATTCACGCGCTTTTGGATAGATTAAAGAACATAGAAAAGGAGAGGAGTGAATCTCTTGAATCAAAACAATTTGTAGCCACATGGTTAAATATCTTTGCATGAATTAAAATGTTAAAAGATGTGAGACTTGCAAAGGGGATCTCATCCTGCATAGCTTCTGGCATATGGACCAGCCAAAGGCCCAGAGCGCGCACATGGGGATGTCGAGGAGACTGGTGCATACTTGGGAGGTCTCAGTTTCAAGCTTTAGACTGTTTTCTGCGACGTACTAGTAGTAATTTGCAATGCCGAAATTATAAATTACTACCGGGCAAAGTGTTATTCAATCGAGCAAGTTCTGCAGTACAGATGAACAAAATGCTCGTACACGCACAGCACCGTGCAAGAAAAGAGATAATGGTTGGGTGCACACAAATTTGCAACAGCATCAGCTTCCAAAACCGGGAACATAATGCAGATGCCAGGACGCAGACGGCTCAGATCTCCGAAGGGACACGCCTGTACAGCTCCTCCTTGTCCAGGCGCGGCGTGGCGACGGCCTGCAGCGGTGTGGCCATGAAGGTGACGAGCCCGGGGGACTCCATCATGCTCACGTCCTCGGGCCGGGTCCCCTCCGGCAGCGTCCACCTGAAGTGGTGCAGCATGTGGCCGATCATGGTCGCCACGAGGTTGATCCCGAGCTGCGCGCCGGGGCACACCCGCCGGCCGGCGCCGAACGGCAGCACGCGGAAGTCGGCGCCCTTGATGTCGATGTTCTCCTGCAGGAACCGCTCCGGCCGGAACTCGAGCGGGCTGTCCCACACCGCGGGGTCGCGTGCCACCGCCCACACGTTGACGACGACGTTGGCGCCCTTGGGGATGTCGTAGCCGGCGATCTTGACGCTGGCGCTGGCCCTGTGGGGCAGCATCAGCGGCGTCGGCGGGTGCAGGCGGAGGGACTCCTTGACGACGGCCTGCAGGTAAGGTAGGTTCGGGAAGTCCGTCTCTGACAGGACCCGATCGCGGCCGACGACGTGGTCCAGCTCCTCCTGCAGCTTCTCCTGCACTCTGGGGTTCCTCAGCAGCTCCGCCATTGCCCACTCCACCGAGATCACCGTCGTGTCCGTGCCGGCAGTGATCATGTCCTGGACAACACACACGACCCACGCAGCAAGTCGGTCGGTCGATCAATCCGTCTCATCAGCCAGTGAATAATCAAGCACACAAACAGATCGACACAGAAGAAAGATGGATGGGCCAGGCAAGCAGTGCGTAGTGCATACCCAGAGGAGGCCTATGACGGTGTCGTCGCTGAGGTCGTACTTGTCCCTGAGAGTGAAGAGCGCATCGACGAAATGCTGCTGGGCGCCACGCTGCTTGAGAGCCTTGGCGTGCTCCTCCATGATCTTCACGGTGAGGCGGTCGCGCCGTTCGCCGTGGGCTTTGAAGACCTGCTCGTCGACCGGGGCCAGCCACCGCAGCCACGGGATGTGCTGCGCGATGGAGAGGGACGCGCCGATCTTGATGCCGTTGTGAACGATCCCCTTGAACTCGCGCCCTTGCTCGTCCAGCTCGCCGGCCGCGTTCACGAACCGCTTCCCGAACGCCAGCCGCGTGATGTTGTTGAAGGCCACCATCGAGAGGTGGTTCTTTACCACCAACGGCTTCCCTTCATTGCCTGCGTGTGAGTAGGAAAAATAAGGGTATGGCCTCTGAGTGCAAGAATTTAATTGAGAGCAGCTCAATGGATAGGTACGTAGTTCAGTGAGAACTGAGTAGTACTCATATGTTAAGCACAACATGGCACAAGATATTGCGTGTTTTTTCTCACCAAGATAATACAAGTAACGTCTAATGCCTCTGTCTCAAAATATAGCCAATATAGCTAATTGAACATAATTTGAAAATAAAATAATTAACAGTTATGACACCAAAGACATACGTTGGGACAACTAATTTCATAATTGACCTAATGACACTAATTTAGTATCTTAGATATTGATACTTTCTCAGGCAACTTTAGTCAAATCTAACATAGCCTCTTAAGACAAACCTAGAACTAGCTAACATACGCGTCTGAGGAAGTAATGTTTTGCTTACATTTATTGAGTATAAGTGTATAACTCAAGTGTCAAGTATAATCGCCCTGTTCGCTTGACTTATAAACCGTACTTTTCCAGTCAACGAATAATATTTTTCTCTCGCAACAAATTAGCCATCGATACTTTCAACTATGGCTTATCAGCCAAGCGAGCTGGGCAAATAATGGTCCAAGAGCCTCATGTTGAAAGGTAGGCATCAGAACTGTCATTATCAATATTTATATTTACCTTTATAAATCATTTCATAATAATACAATTTTATTAGTATTCGTTTAGTGAGAAGACTTGGCGGGGGTAGGTAGAACAGTTACTTTTCATATGCGTGGTACAGTACATCTCAGTTTATGTCTGAAGCGACAGCAAAAGTTTTACCGCAATTATTATTGGAAGGAGAAAACAAGAACAAGTCCGCACTCTGATTAATAATGAGTTGTAGTAAGGCAAACACTAAGATTTCTATTTTGTAAGAAATGAACTAGATTTCGAAAAATCAGTTTCGACGAATCGGGTAGTAATAATCCATCCAAAAAGCAAACAGGGTGTTATCAGTCATAGCTGGTTGTCTTTCAGTCCAGCTGGAAACTAATAAAATCACCAGCAACAGAGAAAGGCAAGATCGAGTAAGAAGAGCAAGTAAAGAATAGTGGTAGTAATTTCTGGGTGGTTTATTACCAGGCGTGGTGACGGCCTTGTAGACGGACTCGACCATGGCGGTGACCTCGTCCTCCCGGATGGGCCTGAGCGCCTCGAGGCGGCGCTGCGTGAAGAGCTCGAGGTTGCAGAGCTTGCGCACCTTGATGTAGTGCGGGCCGTAGTCGGCCCAGATGAGGTCCTTGCCGCCGCGGCTGAAGCTCTCCGTGGAGCGGTCCCGGCAGCGGTCGGCGAGCTGCTGGTCGTGGGTCTTGAGCACCTCCTTGGCCAGCTCCGACGTGGACACCACCACCGTGGGCGACGTGCCGAGCCACACCGTCATGATGGGCCCGTACCGGCGCGCCCACTCCTGGTAGCACCGGCACCGCACGGGCTGCACGTCGAACAGGTTGCCCACCACGGGCCGGCGCCGCGGCCCCGGGGGCAGCTTGCCGTAGAGGAGCCGGTTCAGGAGGAGCAGCGAGACGGGGACGAGGGCCGCCAGGGCCAGCGCCATTGACAGGAAGGAGGCCGTCTCCATGGCTGGCTGGCTGCTGCTCCCGGCCGGCCGGCTGCGCTTTGCTTTTATGGAGATGGCCGGACTGTCGGACTGGTAGTTGGTTTGTGGTAGTGCCGCCCGTGGTGGGTTGGTTGGCGTTTATTAGCCCAGCAGAGATGGCTTATCGACACGGCTGGACACTGATGCGAGATGCAGTAGGAAGTAGGTTGAAACGCTGGCTTCTCAACGATAGCATCCAGGAATAGAGATGCCGAGCGTGACACATTTTATTTTTATATAAAAAATCAAGGTAAAATCGGAATATATTTATTTGGGCGTGCTGGTCCGACGGGGACGCGCACGTCCGCGTAGCCCCCCCGCCCTTCGCCCCGTCCATGAGTGCACTCCGCCGTTGTCTCTGTGCCCGTCGGTCCTTTCGCTGACCCTCCTCTCTCGTGACTCTCCGCGTGGGCAACACTTCGGGAGCCGGGATAAGCAACTGAGGACGAGCACGCCTCCAGCGTGCCCCTGACCTGTAGCACCCCCATACACCGCCCTTGGCTCGCCTCCGGACGAACAACATAAAACACTTGCAATATGAATGCAACATAAGACTGAAAACAGATGAAACATTTGTAAGATGCACTTGCAAAATGGGTGTGAAACACATGAAACATCCAAATAAAACGCTTGCAACTTGCAACATGAAACCACTTGCTCCAACGTAGACTGAAATAGCTGAAACATTTGGAACATACTGTTCCAACATATGTGTGAAACATATGCAACATCCATATCAAAAGTGATTGCAACGTACGTCCAGAACAGATGAAACATTTTGAACAAACGCTTGCAACATTCCTCTGAACCACTTGTAACATATGCAACACGTGAAACATCTCGCCGATCTACTTTTTCAACATCAAGATGAAATAATTGTAACATACTTCTGAAACACTTTAAACATACATATGCAACATAGGGGAGGGAAGAAGGAACATTGTCGCATAGTTTTATGATGCACATGGTCGAGGGGAGGGTGAGCAGCGTGAGCAGCAGCAAGCACCACCACCAGTGAGACCGACCGATGAGTCGCGCTCGTGGGTGCCACCTATAATAGTATTTATTATTGGCTCGGTCGGGGAGACTGCGAGGCGCAAAACGACCATGGTCATGTTTCACGATTAATTTTAAGGCTGCTATATATGGGCTGACCTGAGCAGCGATTCTGGGAGAGAATGAGCAGACGAAGACGCGCTCCGCGTCTTGTCTTTCGTCGTCTTTGAAAAAAGGGATGCAAGAGGACCGATTGGGCGGAGCGTTTGTTTTTGGCTTTTGTTGTGAAAAGGAAAAGAGAAGTCTAATAGTACTATACTGTGCATGTTACGCGACAAAACCTAACGCAGCAGTGGAGTTGAAGTGGAAGCGAACGGATTAGCGACCACTACCGCTTTGGCTAAAGGCTTAACGACCAGGCGGATGATGAGCGATGGGGGATGGCGGAGTGGGGATTTGTTTTTTGTTTCTGAGAGAGATCGGGGAGCCGCATCCGGACACGAGTCACGGGACAGATGCCCGTGGCAATATCATTATTTATTTTGTATTTGAAAAACATAATACATACCTAGTATAAATTGGAACTATGTTCCCACAATAAGAAATATGTTCCTTTTTTATAATGCATCTTGAATGAACTAGTAGAAACGTGTTCAACTTTAATATTTAGGTTAAGTTAGGTTTTGGACTAATGAGTATTGGATGGTTTCGTTCCTGCTTTATCGGCTAAGATTGTCCCATTTTAGTATTTGATTAGAGGGATGAGACCGTCCATGTTTTTAATGAAGATAGATGTTATTTTAACATTGTTATCGAATAGTTTTATGTGGCCCACATGCCTTGCCTGCAGCTAGAGGAGAAGGAGACGACAAGTGGGCGCGAGGCAGAGGCAACGCCGAGCAAGCCTGCGGGGTAACGAGCAAATAACAGTGAGAGGGGGACGACCTCGTCCCTTAATTTATGAGGGATGAGTCTGCTTTGAATTCGAAGGAATAATCCCTTAGAGAGATAACCTCGTCCTCGAACCTAACACCACTAATAAGTATTTATTATATAGTAGTTACACAAACGACGCATAAACACATCTAACATTCCCACATGAAAGTATAGCTGGAGTGTTCATACCAGCAAGAATACCCAACAAACCGACGATACATGCGTGGCGTAGAATTGAATTATATGACAGCCCTGGTCGCTTCAACTACTTCAGCAGTACTTTTCAGCGAACGTTTTCTCTCATAACAAATCAGCGTAAGCCAATTTTCAACGAAACAAACAGCGTTGCTACAAGAACCCTAGACTTTTGGTTTGATCCTCTCTTTGGTATCTTTGATCTAGATCGTGTTCCAACCTACATTTGGATGGTTTTCGTTTGGGAATTGAAGTTTCCAAAACGTGAGATGCATGAGGTCATGTTTCACGATTAATTTTAAGGCTGCTATATATGGGCTGACCTGAGCAGTCGTCTGAATATTCTGGGAGAGAAAACGAGCCAGGAAGACACGCGCTCCGCTCGTCTTGTCTTTCGTCGTCTTTGAAAAAAGGATGCCAAGAGGACCGATTGGGTCGGACACGTTTGTTTTTCTCTCCTTTTTCTTTTGTTGTGAAAAGGAAAAGAGAAGCCTAATAGTTGAAAGGTGGTGCGCATGCGCAAGCTATCGCTTGTAGACCAAATATTACTTGATCTTCCCAATCAGACGGCGGCAGCGAACAACAGTCAACAGGCGGATTACGTGGTCCACGATCAAACACGTACGGCTTCTCTCCGTGTGCCCCGCACCCACAGCGACGTGCACGACTGTGCGCAATGAGAAAGGAACGTGCTCAGCTGACGATTTGATTTGTGCTGCACACTTGCATATACGGTGAATGTGTTTGGTTTGGATTTGGGACGGTGCTGGACTGCTGGCGGCTGCGCTCGTTCCTTCGGATGGGTGGCTCAGGGGACGCCACAACAGCAACGGATGCGACAAGAAGACGGACGACGCATGGTGTCCAGTGTGATTGATGATGGCCTTTGGACCATTTTGCAGTTCGAACGTCGCCCACATGCCTCGCGACTACAAACCTACAGACTACAGTCGCGTTTTTATGCACAGTGAGGGACCGTTTGGATACTGGGATATGATGGATGGGTCAGGGAAATAAGAAGGGATGGATAGCATATCCTCGGTTTGGTTCATGGGTAAGGGAAATATGGAGAGATTGGGATAGGAAAATGAGCACTTGATTTCCCACCTATCCTATCCCACTCGGAGGGGTGGGTAACGACCCGGATACGAGCTCTGCCAAAGGCCTAGGCGACCTCGACGCTCTTCCTCAACCTCGTCCTGCAGCACCATCTCTCACCTCCGCCTCGAGGACACAGATCTGGACTGCAGCCTGCCCGTGAACGCCTCCCCCGCGCCGGCCTCCTCCCGCGGCGTGGAGAAGAAGCTGTCCTTTTGCCGGTGGCCAGCAGCAACAGCTCGCGTTCATGGCGGCTGAGGCGCATCGTTTGGGGGGTCCGGGGTAGCGGCGCACTGAACCTCCAACTCCGCCTGTGGGAGGACCGCACGACCCCGATGGAGCTCCGCCTGTGGGAGGACTGCGCGACGTCGATGGACGCCAGCCTGACAGCTCCTACGGTGGCGTCTCCGCCTGCTTCCGCTGCGGCGAGGCAGGAGCAGCGAGCGGATAAGGATGAAGCCGGTCGTGCGTTTTTTTAATCCCGTGGGACCCACCTAACCCAAACCCTTAAGCCAAACAATGGATTGGGCTTGGATTGTCATATGCCTAACCCAAACCCAGCCTACCATAACCCAACACATTTCCCTATCCCAAACCCTCTAGCTATCCAAACGCCACCTGAATGTGAGCTGTGGCTGTCCTCTAGAGTAATTGCTGGTATTTTTTAAGGATCCTTTTGATTTAACTGTGAGCTATGAAAAAACTACTACTATTATAAATTATGAATTGTACACTATAAAAAAATCACAAGGATATATGGCCAATGCAGCCATATAATAGAAGCGGTTTCAATCAAAAGTAATAGGTCCAAATAGAAATAGAAAACTTTAAACTACTATTCATCCCACACAAGCATACTTTTGTTGTCTCTATGACTCTCTTTCTCTCTCCTCTCTACCTTGTTTCACAATTTCTATGATCTCTATCTTCTCTCTCCAGAGCTAATGTAACTTCCCTCTCCTCATTTGTGGATTTATTATTGGGCTAGCCGCTCCCGATCTCTTTTTATCTGGACTCAAATAAAACTAATCCTAGCACTGTGTCATGCAAATGTTAATAAACCTTCTGCTAAATCTAAGGGCTTCTCCAGTGGAGTCTGCAAAGCGACTCATCATCCTATGTGAAGCCTGAATGAGTCGATTTCATCACTGAAGAATGCCGACTCGTCGAGGAGAGAGAGAAGAGTTGATGTAAGAATCGGCGTCTTGCACTGAACTGGCATGGCTCAAGGACGAGCCGCTGGAAGCTGGGAGCTCCCCGTTGGAGAAGTATGAGCCAGATTCGGTTTTCTGTCTACGGGCCTGTTCGCTTGGAGAAATTATGGAGGAATTTGGATGGTTTGGAGGAATGCTGAAGGAATTTGTGAGAGAGAAACACTGTTCCGGATAAAAAAAAAAGAAACGGATCAAGCCGGATTTAAAGACATACGAACGGGGCCTACGTGATCCTCTCTCTCCTCCAGGAGTCGACCCACCCCCGCGGATGTGCCGACAGGATCATGTCTCTCTCCTTGCAACCTGGCCCGAAGTGCCTGTTTTCTTTCCGTTCCATTCCATTGCCGGAGCTCGTGGTCCGTGCTCTACTCAATTTTTAGGGCTGTTACACCATCCACGTATTGCGTAAGAGTGCCACCTGTGAGTCTTGACGTTTTCGCGTTTGCACTGGCATTGCGCCGAGTGCCCGAGAGGTCAGGTCCCCCTTGCTGACGCTACGGCCGCTTTAATGGCTGCCACGCAGCCCAACAAGTGTGCGTTGTT